CCCACCTCTCCTGCCAAAACCCTTTTCCTCTCCTAATTCTTGCGTATCCCTTCTTCATTCACCCCCAATAGCCTCCCATTTGAGGCCACTTTGGTAACTCTGAATTCAACATGATTGATGGGTCCTGTCTTAAAATAAGAGATCACCTCATTTTTTTTATAATAGATGCCAATTTACATTAATCTAAAGCCTTGTCAATTCATGGTTACCTTGTTTCATTTATTATATCTGGGCCTAGAGCTTCCTTTCTGACATGTTAACAATTTCAGTTTATATGCCCAACTTCTGCATTAGTTGTAGTATACTAGTATCTACTTCTCAATATGCGGCATTCTACTTTCCCCATACTTTATTAGTCCCTAGAATTTGGTTCTCTTGTTTAATTTGTTTTTCTTTGTCTTGCTGTCATTAAATATTTTATAGTGAACTGTAAAAAGATTATAAACGCGGCATTGTCCCTGATCTGCTAATGACCTTTTGTTATTTATGATGGGAACTTCTTCCTTTAGAAATATTTATATAGACGATAATACACGTTTCAATGCAGCAAATCCTTGTTTAATGGTGTATATAGACATTTTCAAGCTGATTAGTTTTGTTATCATATGTGTTAATTATATATATATATATATATATATATATATATACTGTACCCTAATATATTTAAAGGGTTTTGTAACTTTTTTTTTTTGTTTTTTTAAATATTTGATCATGTAATTTAGAATTGTTTGATGTTTAACATGTTTATATTTTTCATTTCAATATATATTTTCTTATAATTCTTAATATATGCACAAAATGTTTGGATTTAGTAAGAATATTTTTGATATATTATGAGTCATGATAAATTGAAGTTTTTTACATTTGTGTACAAATTATAAGGAGCAAATTGAATAAAAAATTTGCGAAATCTCTCTCAACTTCAATAAATAAAATCTTATTGTGTTCTTCTCAAAGTTTTTTTGATTTTTACAAAACAATTTAACATTTGGACCAATATTTGGTCAAAAGAAATAGTAAGTTACTTAAATTATTTGTTTATTAAGAACACATCACTTAGGGTAGAAAAAAAATGAAAATGAAAAGGAAAAAAAATCTCGTCATTTTTATTAGTTTAAAAAATTGGTTGTAACAAAATATCCCAATTTACAAGGGTATCATATATATATATATATATGGAGAATGCTAATATACTCCTACTTATTTTTTTTAGTGGGAGTATGTTAGCAACCTACACCAAAATTTTAAGACAAAAAAATTACTCATTTCTTTTGATTTGGTTAATTCGTACAAAGGATATTATAGTAATTTAATTTAATTTTAAATGAAAATAAAATATTTTCTCTCTCTTATTAATTAATTCTCCCAACTCATTTCTCTTTCCTATTAAATTCTTTCTCTAACTTATTTATCTCTCTTCTATTAAATTTCTTTTTTAACTCATTTCGCTCTCATCTTTATGATGTCTCCCCCCTCTCTCCCTGAACAAATAAAAGTTAATTAATAGAATTGGAGAATGAAGTTAATAAGAGAGAAAAAAAATTTATTTTTATTTAAAATTAAATTAAATTACTATAATATTCTTTATATAAATTAACCAAATCAAAAGAAATGAGTGGTTTCTTTGTTCTAAAATTTTGGTGTAAATTGTTAATATACTCCTATTAAAAAATAGGTAGGAGTGCGTATATATGTACATGTGTTAATTATATTTGAACCGGAAGTAATTTAGATCAATGTAGAAAATGTATGCGCTGTGCCGTCTTTGGCTTTGATAGTTATTATTGGCCATTGCACTTAAAATTTCTGCAACAATTGAATTTGCAATCAGAGTTAGTTTATGCTTCATGAATATTTTTTTCCGAAAGATAGTGAAAGTCGCGCCATTTGTGCAGGATGCATGGCAGCGTTGGATGCAGAACATTACCTGCAAGGTATTGGTTTACAACAGGATAAGAGTGATTGACTAGCTTTGGTGTGTCCAGAGTTCAAAAGATGTTTAATTAGAAGCAACGTTTGATTCATGCAGAAGAATGAAAATATCTGTCTGCATCCTGCTAGAATCTTCATTTGTGTGTTGCTATTCATAGTTAAATCGCAGATACATAAACTTGCATTATTTTATTAACACCATAGATACTCAAATGCACACATTCATGTATTATGATTATTTGGCGCTTGTTATATGGCATTATTGTGACAATGCAAATATATTTGCTTGCGTGTTGGAACTCGTGCATTTCATAGACTACTTACTATCTACAACTGGTCAAATTTGAGGATAAAACATCGCTTTGTTTTACAGAAAGAGTAACTGGATTACACAAACTATGTCTATCCAGGTTATGGATTGTAGAATTTTTAAGTCGATAAACTCAATTTGACGAGATATAAAGTTTTTCACTTCAATTTTCCTTCATATTTTATTTTTACTTGAAAACTCAGCCGTCATGGCCCCACACTAACCAGTACAAACTTGGACGGGCTTTATTATATAGGTTTTCTACCAAAGAAACTCGAAGCTAAATCCTAAAACATTTGTAATTGGTTTGTACAAATTTTAGTTATACCTCTAACCATTATCAGAAAAGGATTATGAAGTTTTAAGTCGAAATTGGAAGCTGAACTACAAAAAGAAAAGGGGTAACTTTGTAGGTTGTACATTATTATGAAAATGTGTATGTTTGGTTTATGGAAATGTTTATTGTTTTTCTAATTCCTATAAAAATGTCATTTACTCTTTTTTTCTATGTTTACATATTTGTATGAGAATTGATGAAACAGAATACTGATAAATTAAAATAAAATGGAAGCAAGGATATTTCCTTGAACTAAACAGTCCGAACTAGGTTCCTATGAGTAGTTTCTTTTCGAGATCAAATGGGTTTATTGCATGATTGTAAATACTCAATTTTATCTACATTAATAAAGAATACTTTTTTTAAAGTGTTTTCTTTGTTCAATAATAGTAACAATTAGAATTTAAGATATCGTGTATATTATTTAAATAATTCTCTTTTACCAAGTTTATCTTAATGGTTAAGAAAAAAATGCTTTATAAAATTCTAAAAAACAAAACTATAAATAAACATATTATACACAAATTTTCAATTGGTTTCAAAATTATAAATTAAAATAATCATATTTTAATTGCACCCATAAATATAGTTGAAGTTATAATTAAAACCATTAGTAAAGAACCAAAATAACTAATTACTGGACATATAAAAGTTTAAATGAAACGTTTTTTTTTTCTACATGTTCCTAAATTTCTATTTTTTGAGAGAGAAAAATAAGAAGCAAAAAATACTACTTGAAAGATACAATTGAAATTCTATTATTCAATAAATATTACTGATGAATAAAAACAGATATACTAACATAATTAAGAAATAAATTCAACATCTACCCATCTTGTGATTCTAAATCAATTGAGTTATTAATCAACTCATGAATTAAAAGAAATTGAGTATTAAAAAATATTAAAACAAAGAATTACAATATTTCTTAAAACAAAATAAATTACCCCAAAAAAAAATCCTTCTTCCGAACCATCCACTAGTCTACTACTGCTTAACCCTTAGCCATATTACCAAAGATTGACTCTTCACCAATCACCATGCTTGTAAAATAAAGTTCTTCTTTGTAGCCGGCGGCTAACACTCTTTTCGTCTTCACACTTTCCGTTTCTTTTCTTCTCTCTTTCTCTCCTACTTCGCAAGTATGTCGTTTACCTTTGAACGTGAAACCTTTGATTTTTTATTTTATTTTATTTTATTTTTTTGCATAAGTTGTTATTGATATGATGTTATATTTCTACTTTACTTTTTTGATTGATATTATGCATTATTGTTGTGGAATGAGTATTACCATAATCGCTGCATTTTAACGCTCTCTTGCGATTGTTTGAGTTGTATTTGTTGATTTTGTTTCTTATCAGCCTGTGTTGCGTGTTGCATATTGACGTTCAAGATAATCGCGTCGTATTGTGCTTTATCTTGTATGCTTTTCAATTTAGGTCACGTCCTCGCCGTGTATTTGTATTTGTATTTGTATTTTCATTTTTTAAATATGTATCATGCAATATGGGTTGTTTATTTTTATTTTATTGACATTTATGCAGATGGCTATGACCATTATTCTTAAGAAAGATAACAAAGTTATATGCTCCACGAAGTGCCTAGACCCGCCGATTAGGCTGTATGGATTTTGTTCTTTCTTAATTCATATTTTATTTATTTATTTTAAAAGAAGCCACTGAAAACTCGTTGTACCCTGTTTTTTTGTAAGGTAAATGAAATTTATGGTGTGATATGTTATCCTGAAAATATTTCCAGGCCAAAAGATTTGAGCATCGCTTCTGTAGTTTCAACAGAGAAGGTATCTAGTCTTTCTAGATTGCCACGATTTTCACTAACTCCGGCACCAGATAATTCACAGGAAAAGGGTGAATGGGGTAGATTTTTGGATTTCCTGCACGAATATAATAGGGTATGATGCTTTTTATTTTCATCCCTAAAAAATCCTTTTTATTTACTCAGCCCGTGTTTTTGTTTCTGATCTATAGCAAATTTATGCTTGTGATGAATTTGTGTAATTATGTTGGTTGCTAAATTGCTATGATTCTAAGCATGTTTTGGAGGAAATATTAATTTCTTTAAATTTAATTGTAACTCAATTATATATATCAGGCCGGCGGCTAACACTCTTTTCGTCTTCACACTTTCCGTTTCTTTTCTTCTCTCTTTCTCTCCTACTTCGCAAGTATGTCGTTTACCTTTGAACGTGAAACCTTTGATTTTTTATTTTATTTTATTTTATTTTTTTGCATAAGTTGTTATTGATATGATGTTATATTTCTACTTTACTTTTTTGATTGATATTATGCATTATTGTTGTGGAATGAGTATTACCATAATCGCTGCATTTTAACGCTCTCTTGCGATTGTTTGAGTTGTATTTGTTGATTTTGTTTCTTATCAGCCTGTGTTGCGTGTTGCATATTGACGTTCAAGATAATCGCGTCGTATTGTGCTTTATCTTGTATGCTTTTCAATTTAGGTCACGTCCTCGCCGTGTATTTGTATTTGTATTTGTATTTTCATTTTTTAAATATGTATCATGCAATATGGGTTGTTTATTTTTATTTTATTGACATTTATGCAGATGGCTATGACCATTATTCTTAAGAAAGATAACAAAGTTATATGCTCCACGAAGTGCCTAGACCCGCCGATTAGGCTGTATGGATTTTGTTCTTTCTTAATTCATATTTTATTTATTTATGCCCCGCCCCGCCAATTTTTGGCAGGCCCGCGCGGGCCACGGCCCATTTTGCCACCCCTAGTAGTTATCACATGTGATGATCAATAACTTTGTAATATTACTAATCACATATAAGAAACGATTTACTGTATTTATATATGTTGTTCATAACTTGCGTTTTAGGATGATATAAATATTTTAAAGATTATTAATAATTTACTTAATTATTTAAGAGATAATTATCTTAAGATAGGTGCCATAAGATGCTAAGACTTTTTTTATGTATAATGGATTTCTGAGTTTAAAAATTTGATTTCGAATAAGACTTTTCTTAGTTTAAATGGGTTTCCTATAATATTTTTACAAATAAAAATATTAGTTACGACTCTAGTTATTTTTCAAAATTTATTATTTCAAGTTTTTGTCCTCGTGTCACAACAATTTCCTAGTTTCTTAGATGGTTGATATCATATGTTGCCACGATCTGAAAATTCCCTACATATATGGTTAGAAAACAAAACCATCGAAGGTTGGCTTAAACAGCTTTCTTGATCAAACATCTTGTCCTGAACCTTAATCTTTTGGTCAATCACGCCGCTCCAAAAACATCCCCTTAATCATGATGTAAAACATTACCCGAAATGATTGGTTTTTACCAAGTAATGTGTATTTGCTCATGTTTGTTTTTTCGTCCTTGGAGCCTCAAATGCACGTAAATTTAAAATTTCATCGCAGCCTTTATAAACTTTTATATCAATGTGGTCGATCCATGACTTAAAAGCTGATGGCTATAGTAGTTTTTATGTTTTTTTAATGCAAGTGGTTTCAAAGTTAGTAATTATGTTGTAAATTTTACTTTTCTTAATAACGTGGTTTACTCGTGCAGTTGATTTTTCAATAGCACGTGTGTTTGTTAATTAATTGTTTTGGTGATAATACAATGTAATTAATATTATCTGCTTGCATTGGTAAACTAATTAGGTGAATACACTAAATTGCGTAAACAACTCTTCCTACCTTCCACAGGCCATGCCAAAACTCTATCACCTTACACAGAGTACTGTTTTGTTCAAAGAGTGAGATTAAGAAAGAAAAAAAAATATATATATAATAAAACAAAACAAGAGATATTTTTTTCACAAGAAAAGAGTAATGTTTGTTTAGATAAGGTTTTATTTTCATAGAAAATTAATTATGGCCTATGGGTATTTTTTAAAAGATATATATTTTTAGCTTTTGAATAACTATTTTAAAAAATATTTAATTATTATAATATATTAAAAATATCATTTTATAAAATGATATTTAGAAAGGGAGAACTAGAAATAAAAGGGGCATATATTCTTGTGGAATTCGTAATGTGTAGTTTTCTTGAAAGTTGAAACATAATGGAATTAATTTATATATGACTTAATGGAAAACATTTGGTGAGATTTTTCCAAGCTTCTCCCAAACAAGATAGTATCATACTGCGTTGAATCTGAAAGGTACCTAAGTTGACGTGACTCTGACTTTGCATGCAGTGAACAATATAAAGTATAAACTCTATTCAAATTATAAATCCTATATTTTCTTTTCTTTTTTATTATTTATATTTTTCCAACAGTTTTTCTTTAGCATTTAGGTCCTTTATTTTTTTTTCAATGAAATATTTGTGAAATTTATTGGTTGAGTTGGAATGATTTATTCAGAAATCATTAGACTATGTTACAGATTTTTAAACTTTTTTGCTTTCCCTCAATTCATTTATTTTTTTGAATTTAAATTTAACACACTTTTTATTTTATTTTTTATCACTCATTTTATTACTTAATATGGTTAATAATATCAATTATTTATCTTTCATATTTTTTTTATCTGTTTAATACATTAGCATATTTTTTATTTTTTATTTTTGAAATTTTAATTAAGTTTTTAAACTAAAAAAAAAATTGTAATTAGTCTTTGATTTTTTTATTTTTACAATTAAATCCCAAAAGTTAGCTTTTAGCAGCTTAAAATTTCTAGAAAAATAACAACTTGTGGCTATTTTACTAACTTCATATACCCAATTATAAAGATTGCAAAATATTAAAAATCTAATTACAATTTTCAATTTAAAATTTAATATGAATTTCTCTACCTAATTCAAAGAGATACTGATATATATTAATTAAACTTTCCTTATCTCTCTTGAATATGCACAAAACCTCTTGATCAGTGTGCAAGGAATTTTTGCTTGTTCTGTTTCCTCCCCTTCTTGGAATTTGGAATTTATATATGTATATTGGCAGACTAGAAAACAGTCAAAGGTTGACCCCAATTTTCTTCATTGGAGACTAGGGCTGCTGGAAAGAAACTACTCAGTCTACCACCAACTGGAATTTCAATATTTCATCTGTAATCATGGGTGCCTTTAAATCTATTGCTCAAAAAGTATTTTCCCTTTAACTAGAGCGTTTTATTATTTTACTAGTATATGTAAACACGCATCACATGTTATACATAACACTCATGACAAGTCATTTTTAATAAGATGATTCAAATTTGAGATATTCCACATGTACTGATATCTCTTAAAAAAGAGACAGAAATATTAACAAATAAATAAAGAAAGAAGAAAAAAATTGAAATAGGTACACCAGACAATAGACAATTAGTATTTTTTTGGTGATGGGGAACAAATAGACAATTAGTATGGTTTAGAAAGATCTTGTTTTTAACTATTATCTTCTTATATAATACAAAACGTTCCTTTTACTAGATTGCTTGATTTTTTTATTAAATTATATTGAGATTCTTCAGGTTAAAAATTTGTGGTTTGTTTTTCATTTCCATTTTGAGTTAGCTAACTTATGGAATCTTAAAAATTTATTTGAATATTACTTTAGAATGTTTTTGAAAGTTTTTCTATTAGAAATAACTATTTATTTTTAATACTGAAACTTCTAAAAACACCTCTAGCTAAAATCCAAATAGATCCGTAATCATAATATGTTATCATTTCCATTTTCATTTATTATAGTGTTCATTTTAGATTACTCAAAGGAAGAAAAATTAATTCACTACAAGAAAAATATTACATACAGTGACATACAAAAAATGTCATTATTAATTAAATATATGTAGGTATATATATATTTATTTGACATATAAATACACACAATTTTAATATTGATTTTGAATGAGGTTTAATAACATTTTGTATGTCATTATAATTTATACCCACATTTTTAATAATATATCATATATTGTATATATTGTGTGGGTAAAATTAATTTTTAATGATAAATATTATATCATTATAGAGTTTGTGTAATTATATGAAATTTTTTTTTATAGTGATTCTATTATGTTATTCTTTGGTAAAATCAATTACTCCAGCATTTCGCCAACAGATCTTTGAAAGAAAAAAAAAAGAGAAATAAAATAAAATTATATATATATATATATGTTAGGAAAATCCTTATCCTTTTAATATCAAAATATATAAAGTAATTGTACCACGGTGGGAATGCCAAGTATATTCATAACATCCACCAATAGAGAAATAAAGAACAATGTGCAAACCAAAACCAATGAAATTGATTAACAGAAGTGATATTGATTTCTGAATTCTGATAATGGCGACTGTATTAGATTCACCATTTATGCAGGTAATTAAACAAATTAAAAGATAGATTCAATTTTAGGCACAGGTTTTAAAACTTAAAACAGCCGAATTGAAAGGGAAAGGAAGAGAAAATGCACATGTTTTAATCCCTCCATAGTTTGGACTAAATGTAAAAGTAAATGATCAATAAAAAAATATGGCCCCAATTATACTGATCTATCCATTTTTGGAAAGAAGAGAGAAGGAAAAGTGTTATGGTGGAATAAAACTATCAAAATATCTATCTACCAAAAAACTATAAAAAAAAATATCTTTACTTCTAGATATTTTTTATTTACTTTTATAAATTTAGAGTTAAGCATGTTTATACTATATGTTTGATTAAGTGTTTAGGGTTATATATATATATATATATATATATATATATATATCCTTTGAATCACTAAAATAGTTTTGTAGTTGAGAGTTAAGTAGATGTACGAAAACTCGATTATATTCTCATTATCTCTTTTGTATTGATTTAAAACAATTCCTTTCACTCTCAATAAAATCGGACAAAAAACTATTTTATCTTTTTTTTTTTTATTCGTTTTCTTTTCTACTAAACAACTTATAAAATTATCTCACTTTTCATTCATTTTCTTTATTTTTCTTTCCTCTTTCATTCTTTTCGTTTTCTTCCTAAACAAAACATACCAATAATGATGTAGTTCCATTTCTTTTGTGATTGTGTGTAACAATTTTTACAATAGAATAAATAACTTAAATTGTACTCAAGTTGATTTTACCCCTTGAATATTCATAGTGTATGGCTCGTTGTATATTCACAACAATACAGCTATGTTAATTTACCACCCACCCATTATTAAAAGTACGTAATAGATGTTGATAGAAAAAGAAAAGTGAACATTCAAAGGTTTATTTACTGTGCTATGCATATCATACAATAAATAAGAGGCACGAGTCATCAAGTCATCAAATTGATATAGGTTGCTTCCACTAAGAGTGTCAAACTTTCTCCTTTTAATTTATAGAGGCTCTTTTGGCCAAATTCTCCTCAATTTTAATGCTAAAGAATACATATTCATGCATCTTTTCATTTAGAGAATTTTATATGTGCTTACTTAGAAGTACGTATTTATAGTAAGTCCTAGGTGCATTATGACTTCTTTTCGATTCACGTACCTATTTCGATACACCCATAATTCCACAGGTTGCACGTCACACTTTGATTTTGGTAGCAACGTGAGAGTCAAAAGCTTTCTTCCATTTGTTTTTAGCGTTGTGATGCAAACATGCATTTTCCTCGATGCAGTTTTTTATACAAAGTTTTGGATCTATTATGAGATTTATGAGCTAAACCTCAATTACAAAAAAAGACAAGTGATTACGATGTCAGAAGATGATTTGATCAATATAGAATTGTATAAAAAAAATGTTTATGGAGAAATTAATTTCTTTATGAAAAGAAAGAGAATTCTATTCTATCCAACCCGTGAATGGAATGAATATATTTACTAATGTGTCTCATGTAATCAATCACATTAAACGCTAACTAGAAAAGTTTATAGTTTTTATGGAATTTTTTTTTTTGTTCAAAACGCAAATGACTACGATGAGATTGCTGCAAGAGGCTGTAAGGAAATAAAATAACCACAAAAAGTTAAAAATCAAACGAAGAAAATGACTACGATATATGATGCATTCTTTTGCGTGTACAATTGTTCATCAAAGTATTAATTTATAGGTGAATAATATGATGCAAGGCAAAAAAAAAAAAAAAAAATCTCACACTAGAGCTTGGAAAAAAAATTCCCACGATTTCAGTTGGTTTTAAAAGATAAAAAACTAATTATTTGACACAACAACTTGAATTTATAAACAAATTTTTTGTCTAAAAAATAAACTCTTTTTAATTTACAGTTTTGATACTAACAATTTTTTTTCGACAGCATTTTTTCTTCTACAACTGATTTATTGCATAAAAGTTGATTTATTGTTTTATCTACGCAAAATCTAAATATTTTAAATTGTTTTATTGCAAATTTACCCATATAAAAATTCATTCTAATTATAATTGGTTATAACAATAATCTAATTTTCAAATTTTATACACAAAATATTAGATTATTGTTTATATAGAAAAATGATCATAAAAATTTATTATGTCTTCACATTTTTATACTATCGGTTAAGTGTAATTGGTAGGATATTTTTTTGAGTTTATAAGTTCTTTTAACTAACTTATAAGAATTTATTTAAATTTATATATATAATTTACTAAATTCACATAAAGATCCGAAATTAGAATCCCCACCCGAACACACTTCAACACGTTGGATATGCAAGAATTATTCTTACTACCATTTTTGGAAATCACCCATGAAATGAGATGTCTGGCTTCTTCTTGCGATTACAACTTAAAAAGGAGGAGAGAATACAACGAAACTAGATAAAAAAAGAAAAACAAAAAAAAAACTAAAATGCCACATCCCATACACATATGATAATAAAAAATAAAAAAAACTACTTCTTATTCATGTCCTATACACACGAGAAACATAAAATCATCGTATGAATTCTAATTGCAGGCTATCTCCCCACCAACTCCAATTACTTGACGTTCTTTAGCTAATAATAACGTATACATATGCATCGACGAATCCTTTCCTTTTACTATTTGGCCTTGTCCCAATCAAGATACAATTTTGGTGATATCCTTGGTAGATCTGTTGTATTTCATGTGGCTATTAACAAGCTGTCCAGATGCAATTGCCGACATGAGTGAGAGTTCCCCAGCAAGGACTGAACCAGCTACTATGGTTGCCAGTAACCTAGAATTTGCACCTGGGGACTCTTTGCTTGCACCCTTAACCCCAAGTAAATTCAGACAAGCTGATTGAGATGCCAATTGTGTGCCCCCTCCAACTGTACCCACCTACAATATTAAACATTATATAAGTCTAATGTACAAACTTTGCATTCTCAAGTCTCAACTACCAAAATCAGAATATTAATGCCAAAAGTCACATCACCATGCAATTCACACTCAAAGAATTTAATCAACTGTGATATCAACGACTTCTATCTCGACTAGGTAATAGGTGGGAGTTGGAAATCTTTTCATCATTAAATTAAACATGTTACGTTCGTAAGTTGCTCCCATGATAAGAGGATAAAGTAAATGCTAAAAGCCTAAAACTAAAACCAAGGAGCCTGAATACTACATATTTCTAATGCACCGGAATGTTAACAACTCACGGACCAATTAAACGTTTGAGTAATTTATGTCAGTTAGTTGGCTACATAATTTATGTCAGCACTAGAGGACTGTGGACGCACATGTGAAGGAAACAGAGGATTTAAAAAGACAAACAATTTGTTAATCAAACATGCACTGGGATGCCTGTAACCTATTGCTTCTTTCTACACCTGGCGAATAAGCATGTTTTATACAATATGGTTTTGCCGACCAAAAAAGATAAATAGTGTCCCACAGGAATAAAAATTGCAGGGTAAAGAATCCATTCAGAAATAAAAATCTGGAATAAACACTACAGTGATGTGTTTGGAAAGTTGGAGAGAAAAAATTAAATGGGATGAGAAGCTGAAGAAAAACAAAATTGATATTTTGTTTATAAAAATATTTTTTCTCTGATTAAACAAGAAAGTGTATCATTATTTGATGTCGCTTCTTTATTTTTCTATCCAAATATAGTATAAATATTAAAAAATTTATAGATAATTTAACTCCCACGAGTCCCACCCCACCTAAAATATGGCAGAGATGTTAATTAATGCTTGATGACTTTTTTTGTCTCATGCAAAGTACGGATTGCTGTTTTTCATATTTATTTTATAATATAAAAATATCGATAAATAGTGATAAAGAAATAAAAATAAAATATTGGTAGTATTAGTACATGATTATTTATTAAGAATCTAGTATATTTCACGTGAAACAAACTAAGTACATGATTAAGAATTGAGTAAAAGTGTTATAAAAATAAGGGTAGAAAAGTGAATTTGCCAAAAAAGGTATTGATTATGGTTCCGACTTGGGAGCAAGCGAAGCGTTAAGGTTGGTAGAAGTGAAGAAAAATAGAAGTAAGGGTTACCTCAAGCGAAGGCATGGTGACAGAGACGTGCAGGTCCTTTCCATGGTTGACAGGTTCCATCATAGTTATACAGTGTGAACTCTCGACATTCTGAGCTGGATCCTGTCCAGTGGCTATGTAGATAGCAGTAACGATGTTACTAGCATGAGCGTTGAAGCCACCGAGAGCACCCGCGGCGGCGGAACCAGCAAGATTTTTCAACATGTTAAGCTCCACTAAAGCCTCCACGCTACTCTTGAGCACTTTGTTGAGCACCTCTTCCTTAATCACAGCCTCGCACACCACCGACTTCCCTCGGCCCTCGATCCAGTTGACCGCCGCGGCTTTCTTATCCGAACAGAAATTCCCTGATACAAATAAACCAAAAACCTCATGTCACTCTACTTGAATACTTTAATTAATAATATAATATAATATAATATTATTACCAGATATTCCAATAACATCCATGTCAGGAAAATCAGTGTGAAGAAAAGCGAGTACGTTTTGAACTCCTTTGGAAACCATGTTCATCCCCATGGCATCCCCCGTGCTGCAACTCAATCTAATGTACAAATTCTTTCCTACTATTGCACACTTGATGTCTTGCAGTTTCGCAAATCTGCTTGACCTGGATTATTTATATATTTATATTTATATTTATATTTATATTTATATCATAAATTATTAAAAAGATAATAAGTGACATGAAAATAAAAATTACTTGTTGAAAGCGACAGAGAGGGAATCGAAATTGTGAGGGTCTTCCAAGTAGAATTTAAGCTCAGAGGCGCGTTTGGCGGAGGAGAATCTAACCACAGGGGCTCTGGTCATGGCATCGCGGAGGACCACGGAGGAGGCGCCACCGGAAGCGTGAATGGCCTTGCAGCCACGGTTGGTGCTGGCGACGAGGCATCCCTCGGTGGTGGCCATGGGAACGGTGTACTCCTTACCGTCGAGGAGCAAAGGACCGGCCACGCCCACCGGGATCTGAACGAAGCCGATCGGCATCTCGCAGCACTGTCCCAGGATGGACTCGTAGTCGAACCCTTCCAGGGGGAGGCCGTCGAGCGACCGTCCGGCCACGTGCTCCACGGCGGCGCGGCGAATGGTGGCGGCGCGGCGGCAGTCGGCGAGGCGGGACTCGAGGGAGTAGGAGGGGATGGAGCCGGAGACGACGGCTCGGACGATGTCTTGGTCGTGGTGGGGGAGCGGCGGCGGCGGAGGGAGGAGGGGGGAGCAGGGAGGTGGGAGGATTTCGAGGTCGTCGTCGGGGGAGGGGCGGGAGTGGAGGATGAAGGTAATGCCGAAGAAGGCCATGAGGTAGACGACGGAGGCGACGAGGGAGAGGACGGCGAGGATCTCGGAGAGCGTGAGGACGTGGAGGGGGGTGGAGGTGCGGATCTTCTCCCGCCATCGGTGGAGGAGGAAGTAGGCGACGGAGAAGAAGAGGGTGAAGAAGAGGGCGTTGGTGATGTAGGAGTAGGACTGTGGGTGTGGGTGTGGGTCGTCTTTGTGTTTGTGTTTGAGGGGTTCGACGGCGGAGGGTCGGGGGAGGAGTCGCCGGCGAACTTCCATTGCGCGGGTTAAAATAGGGAGCAGAGAAGAGAAGAAGTTAATGGTTTAAATGAAATGCCGAGTTTTAGAAGCTTTTTTATAGAAAGGGACTGAGGTTGAGGTTGGCGCGCAGGTGACCAAGGAACCTCTACTACTACCTCCCTCTTCTTCTCTTTTTCTTTTTTTCTTTTTTATTTCACTAATTAATCATCATTTCTAAAATAACGCCCTTGCTCTCAAGTCTCAACACCATCCACTCATCCACATACACATACACTTGCTTAACGCCTTCACTTCCTTTCTTTTTTCTTTTCTTTTTTTCCTACTGAAACCGGTCATTATTATAAATAACCGGTTAGATTAAGTGGTTTCATATATGTTTTTTAATTAATAATTCAAGTTCCATTCCTAATACAAACTAGTACTTTCTTTTTAATAGGGTTGTTCCAACCAAAAAATACAAAATGGGCCATTCAAGTTGGTTGTTATTAAGCACCTAGTCCTCACACAAGTACTCGTGCTATTTTTTCTTTTCTTTTTTTTACTTTTCACACATTGCACTTTTTATTAAACAAAATAATAAAAAATTATTTGGTAGTGTAAGGTGTTCATAGTTTTGAAATTTAATTATATGTTATATGGTATTAATTAGAAACTAATTAAGTGGTACATGATCTTATAATAACTTATTTTATTTCTTAGAAAAAAAATATATTAGATAGTTTATGTATTGATACGGAAGATATTTATTATAGAATTTTAGGTATTATGTATCTAAATTCAAAACATTTAATGAGTGTGACTTAATCTCTTTAAGATTTGGGATCTTTCATATATATTAGTCTTACATTTTAAGCACAAATCTCTCATTTTCTAGCCATAATTTTGTTAATTATGATATATTATTATTATTATTATTAATAGATATAAAAATTTTAACATTTATGATTATTATCGTAAATCAATATGTTGTGTTCCTTCCCTTTCTACTTTAGGGGCGTGGTCAATAAATTAACTTGATGTGTCTGGTGAGTTTGTTGTTGGATCAGCAAAGAGTTCGTACAATATACAACTTCTAAACTAAAACACTAAGGTGTGAAGAGTCTACATACTCAATTGACGGAAGACCTATACAATACACATTTTTATATAGACTCGAGTACTAAGATTCAAAGAACATGTGTGCATAGCCTACTCGGTCAGCAGAAGATCAATACATACAATTTATGATAAGTGTTCTTAGTCTCGATGAATCTCTACATAAAATATATTTAAGTTTTTTATTTATAAAAATTAAACAATACTTAATTACATGTCATTTATAAATTAATTAGAAATTATGTGATCTAGGGTCATACATTATTTTTCCTAGTTTTTAGATAAATTATTAAATAGTTTGGAACTACCAATATTAATTATCCCAATCAATCTCTATATAACACGTGTTTAAATTTTTCAATTTATGAAGATTAATTAGTAGTACTTTTTTTACAGGAAAATTTAATAATTAATAATTACATATTATTTATAAATTAATTAAGATAGTTGTGAAGCTAGTTCACCAAATAATTAACCTGTTTCAAAACCTTATTTATGGTGCCTATTTTAAATATATAATAAAAAAATATTTTCATATCGTCCGAGAGAATGTACATTATTACGAGAATAAAAAGAAAATATAAGTGATGTTATGAATAACATATATATAGTTAATCATCTATAGTATACATTGCTAGTGTAAAATTTTTTTTACACTGACAATCAATCATATATTTTAATAATGTCATATAATTTGCTTATTTAATTAAATAAAAATAAAATAAAATAATTTAAAAAATATAATTGATTGTCGATGTAAAAAACTTTACACTAGTCGTGTATAAATGATTAACTCATATATGTGTGTGAGTATAACAACGTAGAAATTTTGGTGTAGGATTGTTAAAATTATGTAATTCATATGAAATATAATAAATTAAGAAACGTAAGATTCAGAAAACAGTTAGAGTCACTCTAATATAATTACAGTCAGAAACCTTAAAAATCAAGTTCAATATTGAAACTATTAAATCATTAACTTTTTCAATTAATAATTTGAACACAATAAATTAAGTATTAAAGTGTTCAAAATATTTAATTTACCTAAATATGATTATAAAATAATTAAGTTAAATTCTACATTAGTTTGGTATAGAAATATAAGAAAACGGTAAGAATGACTCCAATATAATTAGAAAGCATGATGTTAAAAATCAAATTCCTATTGAAATGATTAAGTCGATCGTTAACTTTTCTTTAAGTTATAATTTGAACACTATATTGGTAAATTTAAAAAATAAAAAATAAAAAATTTATTTAGGGTTTAATCTAGTTTAAATTTAATAATTTATAAATTTGGATAATAAAATAAAAATAGAAATTTAATGAGTAAATTATACGATTTATTACTTAATATATTTTTTATACAAAAAATATATACATATATATAATCACCTTTTACATTTCATTTCCTATTTCATTTATTTAATACATCACTAATATTATATTATTTATTTTATTTTATATTTTTTTATCCTTTTAATATTATATAATATAATTTTTCATCTAATAAATAAAAGTACACTGTATAAAATAGAATAATATAACATTATATAATATTAGAGATATGTTAAAAAAGGTATGCAGAAAATGAATTTAAAAGCATATGAAAAACAAAAGTGATTATATGTTTATATTTATTGTATTAAAATATATTAAAATATAAATTATATGATATTTTCTTTATTATTGATCCAAAATTACGAATTTTAATGGTCTCAACACTATATGAGAGAAATATATGTTAAATAAGTTATAGGTCTCAAAAAATTAATGATTTTTAAAAAATTAAATTAATAATAAATAAATATGTTAAAAAGAGAGTATCACTGCCATTGATAGTTAATTAAATTGAAGTAGGTTTTTTTTTCTTTCACGACATATTGCTTTTTGATGTGACCACATAAGGAGCACAAAGTTTACTTAATCACAAAAACACACACAACTTGCCTCTTCTGCATCTGAAATTACCGAGAGTTTTTTTTTTAATTAAATCTATTTTTAGTCTTTATAATTTTATTAATGTGTAATTTTAGTTTCTAATTTTTTATTACAAATTTAAATTTATTTGATTTTCAACAATAAACAATCTTTGTCTATCTTATAGTCTATCTTAAACATATCGTATAAAATTAAATAAAAAATATTAATGTAAAATGTGAGTATAGTATCCGACAATTATTTAATCACGTTGATTGAATATCTCTTTTTAATAAAGATGTGTGATGTTTCTTTTTTCTTTTAATAAGAATTTATACTCTCTTACAAAATTTTATGTATAATTTGTAGTACTGGTATTTTTTTACGACAGGAACTAATTATTAGACAGTGTCATCATATTTTACATCAACATTTTAAATTTTTTATGACATGTTAATAATAGATCAACATTATTTAATTTTAAAATTATAAAAGAAAACAAATTTGTAATTAAAAAAAATCTAAAAGATTAAAACTATTAAAAAACTTGAGAAATAAAAAATAGATTTAACTCTTCTTTATTTTTCTTCTCGAAGTTCCAAAAAAGGAATTCGAGGGTGCTGGATTTTGTTCATTTTCATTTCATCTACGATCTACTCCCTTCAAGTTTGGAGGCGGTGTTGGAGACTCAAACTTTTTTTTCCCTCTTGTTATTGGCGTGAAAAGGAAGTAAGGATACGTTGACTTTTAGATTTCAAGAGTTGAAATAGGATAAAAAGGGTTATTTAGTATATTTATTTGTATTATTTACAAATTAGTGTAATTACATTAAGGGTGAGCATGACATCGAGATTCAAACTGAATCCAAAAGAATTGATAAAAAAAAATTATTTGACAGGTCTTATGAATAAAATAGGTTAAAATTCTAATTTTATAAGAGTTATATTAAATGGTTTAATTTTTTATTTTTAAATTCGTTAAAAATTAGATATTTAAATTTTTATTACTTTTCTTTAATTAAATAATAATGATCAAAATTTAAAAGTTTTTATTTTAAATATAATATAACCATCAATTTGTAACTTTTTTTTTCTCATAATCTAAGATGTTTCTTTTGTCTTCTCCTTCCTAACACACTAGTTCATTTTTTGAGTTTTTTTTTTGTCTTTCTTTTCCATTTTCCTGCTTTCATTTTGAGTATAACTTGTGTGGTTGTAGTTTCTTATGAATTTTGTTATCTAACTTTAGATTTATTTTGCATGTAATAACTATGAATTTTGTTATCTTTTGTTTTTGTTTCTCTAGTGTGAATGTTTCATCTACGAATTTACCTACACCATCCATTGTCACCTTCATTATACTTTTGTACACTATTTTGAAAATGTTTTTTTTTTACCGTTTTAAGCTTCACATTTGTTAAGATAATTTAGTTTACTAAAAATCTCAAACCCGATTATACTCACCCACTCAAATCCAAATCTATTTCAACTTGAACCGCCTCAAATTAAAAGCTCAATCAATGGAATATGGGTCACATTTTTTCAAAGTTGATTTACAATAGATTGAACACTTTTTACCCAAACCCGCCTGTTGTCCACCCCTATCTTACACTGGTATTAAATTTATGATTTTTACCTTTTATATAATTATAATTTTGAATATATTTTTTATTTTATATAAATATATGGTGGTCTATACATATATGTTTAAAATATATATAAATTAAATTTTGATATATATATATATATACACACACACATATAGTCACTACAAAAAATATGCAATTTAGTGACCACCAAAATCGGTCACTAAATTGAAAAAATAGGTCGCTATTTACTTTAGCGACCGAATTTAATCAATCGCTAAAACCCTGGTCGCTAAGCTATTTATTTAGCGACTGAAAATTTTGGTCGCTAAATGGTTGAAATGATTTTGGTCGCTAAAGTGTATGGGACCAAATTAGTGACTGAATAAATCGGTCGCTAAATCAGTCGCTAAATATTTTTTTTTTTATTAAATTTTATAGACGTCACAAATTTGGTCTTTATGAACCACTCATATTTGGCCTCTTAAGGATTTTATTTCACAAT